ACAACCTTGATCTGCTTCCCTTCCGGCCATGCTCTGACCCTCCTCCCATGTTTGTCTCCCACTCCTGGGCTTTTCACCTCCCCCAGCCTAGCTCGCTCCCAGGATCCCTTGGGCCACTGCACTCTGTTCTGTCTAAACCACACTTTCCAGACAGCTTCATTTCAGTTTCTTTTCGGGGGGGAACACAGTTCAACCACAACAGGGTCCGACAGCAGGTGTAGCATGGACAGGGTTGGAAAGGTGTGAGAGGCCAAACTGAGTGGTCTGTGGCAAAGATTTGGCTCCAGTTGGGGATCCCCACCGAGACCATAACAAATTATGTGACAAATCAAGATATAACAATCCAGCACGTCTTAACAAAACAGAAATCCTGACACGTAGGGGAAAGAAAATGGTGCTATATTGGGTTACCCTACGATTGATGGCCCCAACAGGTCCACTGATGAGAGTGAAAGGGGCCTGTTCTTAATTGTATCAGGACAAGAGGTGCAACTGGGGACTGTTCCAGGCTGGGAAGTAGGGTGACTACAGTGGTGCAGCAAAAGCATGAAGAAGGTCGACCAGAAAGCTGAGGGACGTGGGTACTTCACAGGTGCTGTGTGTTGGTTTTAGAGTGCCAGCTATTTCTGGATGAAAAGAAATTTGAGGGAAACACTCCATGTGCAAAGCTTTCAAAAGGTAAAAGATAAAATGGGCAACTGAATTGAGTCTGTTCTAATGATCAAGAGGAGACTGTGAAGAAAGGTTTTCACTTTCTGTTCCTGGTCGTCTAGATTGTCTGGGTCAGTTTTCCAAATGTATCTTGAACAACTCTGAGTTTCCAAGGACCCAGTGCAGGGGCTGCCTTGATGGGGCGGTGAGGCCACACTTCAGCGCCCTGCCCCCATTTAAACCTGAGTAACTGTTTTTGGTTGTTGTATCTTATACGCTAAAGTTTGGCATAACACAGAATTTGGGGGAAAAAGCTTTTATTGCTTTGAAACCCACCGATCTAGGACGAGTCTCAGTATGATTCCATCAACCGGAGAGCAAGAGAGAGGGGACCATCTCTCAGCAGCGTGGCACGTTGTGATTATTCATCAGATCTGTCATTACCAAATGGTGTCATTCACATCATGTACATACATGGTTGTTTGATCCTTTGATTATTTTTTTGATCTAAGAAAAAAAAATATCCATTTCCACTTTTTTGCAGAAATATATTGGCATTGACACTGGTTCCATACCCTTATCAACTTTTGCAAAGTGGATGATACATCGTCTGAATTTTTGTATCCGCAACACTGGGAGTCGTTGGTGGGATGTGACATGGGGGAGGGTAATTCTTAGACTCCTGAGGCAGTGGGTGGGGGGCGGGCTGGCTTCCACTTCCTTTCTCATTCTGTCAGCGCGTCTTCTACCCCACAGTCAGCTCCCAGACTCTTGCAGACTTTGAAGCCTGGAGCTCCTGCTGGCCTTGTTTCCCACGTGAAAGAACAGAGACGCCCCCCCCTCCCACCCCTTTGGGGACAGGAAGCCACAGACAAATGTTTCCCCTTCCCATTTAAAAGTAATGCTTTTTTTCTTTTACGTATTTTAAGAACAATTTTTTTCTTATCACAAGAGAAATTGATATTTGTTGCTGATAAATAGAAAATACAGACAGACAAAAAGTATAAAATGGAAAATGTTCATTATTTCCTTAAGCTGGAGAAGAAAACTACAATTAACACCGAGGTATAATAAGTCCTTTCTTTAGAATGCTTTTCCTTCCTTTCTTTCCCTCCTCTCCTCCTCTCCCTTCCTCTCCTGTTTCCATCATCCTTCTCCCCTTGTCCTGGTTCCCGTTTCTTCATATATATCTTTCCAGATATTCTCATCAGTATATATATGTATATTTACGTGACCACAGGCCACTGGTTAGGCCCTTTGGCTGTACAGGACGGAAGGTGGACGTTAGTAACTAGGGGATCTGTGGTCAGTGTGGGCTGAGGGAAAAAGCCAGTAGGATTCGGGAGGGTCATGGACTGACGAGGAGATGGGCCATTGGTGGTGCCAACTGGAGGAGAGAGGGAGGGAGGGAATCAAGAACTCAGGCTACAGCCTGGCCCTGAAGAAGTTACGAGATCTTACTCTTGTCTTTGGAGGCTGGAGGGAAGGAAGGATGGGAGAGGGTTGTGATGGAGGAGGGCAGAGGTACTGAGGGAGTAAAGGTTCAGTGGACCCTTCTCAGCACTGTCCTGTGAATTGCCTTTTGTATTCTCTAGCCTTTCCCCGCCTGATTAAAAGCGATTCCGGAAGTGTTTTTGGAACAGTTGGCCAGATTATGTTAGCTCTCATAGTAACTTTTGTTCTAGGTCTACTTGAGGCCAAATTTGTCAAAGTAGAGAATTGAAGCTCTAGAGCTGTATGGGCCAATAGAAATAAAATGTAAGCTTCATATAGCGTTTAAAATTTCTAGTAGCCAAGTGAAAAACAAGTGCAATAATTTTAATAATATATTTTATTGAACCAGTATACCCAAAATATTATCATTTCAACATGTAGTTAGTATGAAAATTAGTAATGAGGTATGGCACATTCTTTTATTTATTTTTTCCTATTCTGTCTTAAAAATCCGGACTAGCCACATTTCATGTGCTCAGCAGCCACACGGAGCTCGTGGCTGCCATGCTGGAAGGCGCACGCAATTTTAGCACTGAATGCTAGTCTAAGAAATAAAAGTGTGCCTGTTCTTAGGACGTGACAAAGACTCTCTCTTGGCCAAACTCTAGTCAGCCTTCTCTGAGGTTTTTCACTTTGGGCATGTCCTCAAGAACCCATTTTATGAAGAATCCTGTTGGCAGGATTTTGAAAGAGTATGGATATAAGAAGCTTAAACTGTGGAAGTGTCTGGCCACGTGAGTTTTTGCCAGAGCGTGTGGGCTCTGTTGTCGTCAGCTGGTGTAGGGAAAAGAGCGCTTTGCACTGGGAGGCGGCTCTTGGCTTTGTCACCTGCAAGTCACCTAACTGCTGGGCCCCAGCTTTAGCCTCTGAAAATCCTGGATAGCTTCTTTGGCCCTCAGGGCCTCATCCACCTTTGTATCTTTGAGACCTCAAGTTCAGGATGCCCAGTGGATTTCAGGTCAGCCACCATGAGGGATCTCTTGGCACCCCAGTCCCTCGCAGGGCTGAAGGCATCATGGATACAAGGAAGCCACCCATTGCGTCGGTTGCGTAACCACACTCTCGGTTTTGTTATCTGTGCCATCTGTGTGTTTCCTTCTTGTTCTTGCAAATTTCAGAAATTAAAACAAATATACCTAAAGGGGAATCCATGATTAGAGCAAGTAATTTAAAAACGTGTGAAGGAGTGCTTAAAAGAAGTATTTTAGTAACTATTTCATGGTAGTGATGAGCAGGTCACCTGTCACAGCACTGATCAGTTCATTGTCCTTTATATCTGAGAGGCGGGTTTCAGGGATAGATTCAGTTCTGTAGTAACCAGCAGCTTCAATAAGCTCAGCAAAAACTGCACGCAGTTCTTCCAGAAATAGTACAATCGGAGCTTAGGAGAGCAAAAGGTAAAATTAACAGGATTGAATTGTCAGAACTGCGAGTTAGATAGAATTAGCATTTTAGTTTTTGTTGATGAGGTTAAACAAAAGTGCTGTAATATTCTCACTGATAATGTTTTCAGTGTTTCAACGTTTCAGTTCTTGAAACCTGGAATTTCTAACAACACAGCCCATTGCTTGGGCTCTGAGAGGCCCCTGCAAAACCTGATCTTCAGAACTGTGCTTATGACTGTTTTCTTTCAAGGTCAACGGTATTTGAGTTATGTGTTTGAGTGTCTGCACCAACTTAATCTTAGACTTTGAAGTCGAAAACTTTAGATCTTGAGTGAAATATTAAAGAATTGTCTCAAATTGTGACATGCATGTATCACAAAATAGCTAACGCTTTCAAAAGAAGTTAGATTAATATGTTATTTGTTTTGACTCTTCTATTCTTTAGCACTCTAAAAATCACTTTGACAAATATAAATGTAAAATATGCATTAGCTATAGACATATTGCTAGGATTAGCTATAACGTGACAATGGAGCACACATTTTTTTTTTAAGTTTTAAAAACCAAAAATATATGTATATATTGTTTCATAATAATTAGATCTTCCTTAACTGCCTTACTTAATGTTACCAACCAGGAAAAAAAATGGTTTGAAGTTTTTATGCAAAGCTTTTGGGTACTTGCCTAAAGGAATCAGTAATATTTTTCCTAGCCATTTTTTTTAAATTAGCAAGGAGCTTTACTTTTCTATTTTTTAATTGAGATATAATTGACATATAACATTGTGTTAGTTTCAGGTATACACGTAATGATTAGATATTGGTCTAGATCATGACATGATCACCACAATAAGTCTAGCTAACGTCTGTCATCACATAGTTATAATTTTTTTTCTTGTGATGAGAACTTTTAAGATCTACTCTCTTAGCAACTTTCAAATATGCAATACAGTTTTGTTGACTATAGCCACCATGCTGTACATTAAATCCTCTGACATTTATTTTCTAAATGGAAATTCGTACCTCTTGACCACCTAGGTACAAACTTTTCTCCTAGCCTTTTTGGAAGCAAATAGAATTGAAGTGATTTTTGTCCTGCTCTTAGAAGTTGCAGCAAATGAGGCTACCTAGTGATTGATGACTCCTATGCAGTGATAAGCCAAGCTTTAAAAACATCTCAGGCTCACAGCCCGGCCATGTGCCAATGTCAGGCTGCTCCCTGGTGATAGAGGGAAGTCCTGCGGGCGAAACCATGTTGCCTGAAGGAACACATGGACTCATATTTGCGTGCATACTTACTCCGAGTTGAGAAATCTAGATGACCCAAGGAAAGATCGTCTTGCAAAACAATATCCCTCAGAACACAATTGTTTATTGGCATTTTTTCCTTATTGACTTATTGTTTTCCTGTTTTTTGAGTGAGAGCTCTTTTAGTGAGTGGCTGAGCGTTCTCAGAACAAACAAACCTCTCAGTTCTGGCACGTACAGTCCATTTCGCTCTCCGCCCTCCAGCTCTCTCCTGTGAGTTGGAGATCTGATAGCCCAGGCTGAAGTTTCAAGCTCCCCGAGGCCACGCCACCCACTCTGTGGGGTGCCTGGTCATGCCAGGAAAAAAAGGGAAAGAGAAAGAGTAGGAAGGAGGCGAAGTCATCCCAATAAAGGTTAATCGCGGGGTGGTGACACCTTCTCACACGACTGGACGGAAAATGCTCGGCAGCTGGGCAGTGCCTGATCCCAGCTGCCTGTCACGGAACTGGGAGTAAGAGGTGACCTGTTTATTTTTAGAAGGGGACAGTCATAATAACTCAGCTCTTAGCTTCATTCAAGGCAGGCAGGCGCTTTGGAAGTTTGTAAACACCTACTTTCTGTAAGGGAGGAGTGCTTTTTTCCAGAAAGGAAAGAACTTGACCATTGGGGTTTTTCCCTCCTGATACTCGTCGTGACAGCGGAGGAGAAACTATTGCGGCACGGAAGTGTTGCAGCCTTCTCCACCGTGTTAGTATTTTTTTAAAGGGCAGAAATGCCTGAAGGTGAGGACTTGGGACCAGGCAAAAGGTAATTATGATATATATTTCTTTTTGGGTGTATCTCATTCGCTAGTTATCTTTTTAAAAATAGTATGACTAATTTAAAAAGTAGTTTAAATTAAAATTTAAAAAAATTAGGACTGCTATCCCTTAATTCCAGGAAACAGTTTTCTTTAGCATAAAGAGAGATAAAATTAGCTTAATATACCCTTAGAAACATGTGCAAGTGTTTTTGTTAAATGAGGAAGTGATGGCATGAAAATTTTAAACTGTATCGCCCTGCACCATGTAAAGTCTACTTGAATTTTTTGATATTTTTTTAACTTTATATATTTTTTAGCTTTAGATGATAGTTGTTGGAAATCTAAGCTAGTGAACATTTTGTAAAATATTTGCCTTTTAAAGACTTGTTGAACATTTCTAAGGCTAAATCTTAGACCAATATACCAATTTTGATATGACTGCACTTTTTTTTAACCACAGTTCTTACATTTTAAAATGTGATCAGTTGAGCTCCCATATGCAGTAAATTAATTGTAGCAACATTTTTTTATTAATATCTAGCTCTAAGAAGGGTGGAGGGTAGACATGGGAAAGGAAACAGGCAATTATTCCTACTAATACGTGCATAATTTGTGCCCATATCGAAGGCCCTATTTCTAGCCCCACTGCTGTCCGTTAACAATATTTGTATGAATCAGTTTTGTTGGAATTCTAATCAGGATCATGGAAATGGGGATATGAAGAAGTACAAAGAAAGCTATTTGAATAGGAAAAGGGGTAATTGACAATTTTGTCAAAGAGGGTGGAAACTAGTAACTCTAGAAACAGAAGTGCCAAATATATTTTTTGCCCCTGTCATAAAGATAAGCATCCCTTTTCAGCTATGGTTATATGATGTGCGTGCGTGTGTGTATTGGTTATAATCAGTTACAATCATGTCCTTAAAGGCTACTTTTCTCTTTAGTTTTCTAGTTTTTATTTTCTTCCAGATTTCTTCCCAGTACATCAAAGGGGACATTAAGTTGACATTTAATTGACTAATGAAATAATTTTCTGCATAAAATGGGACATTAAGTCAAGTACTTGAAGATGATATTTATAAAAATGCCTAGATTTAGGACACGGACTAACTAGTTAAGAAAACATTTTCAGAGAAATTTAAATGTCAGTCTTGGTTTTGAGATAGTGGATTGATCTACCTGTTGTGTCACCCTTCCCCATGACATTTTAACCTTTCTGAAAGCAGGACTTTCTCATTTTCTGTTAAGCATCTTGGCATTTCCACTAGCTCTCTGCATAGAATATTATGCAGAATAGGAATTTTAATAAGTACTTGTTGAATGGAATGTATTTATAGATGATTTTTATACCTGCAATAAATACGAGTATCTGGGAGCATGATCATTTAGAGACTGACAGGAGAGATTTGGCAGAAGTGTAACAAGGGTTGCCTTAATGAAATGTAATAGCATCACAGTTAAATGGTAATTGTGGATAATCATAAATATTTTAAACTAAGTTTGCAATGCAAACTAAACAAACATAAGGTTATTTTCTAAGAATGTTTTACTGGTTACAAAGACTTAACAGACAAGGAGAATATATACCTAATAAAAATTATTATTACCAAGGATTAATAATATATTTGTTGAAACTGGGAAGCTCCCTCTCACTTCATTGAAGTAGTGTACCCCGCCCTGCCCCCCCCCCACGTTTTTATTTCAATGAGGTAACTCCCAGCTCTTAACATTTGGTGGTTTTCTATACAATATACTTTGCTTTGCTTCAAAAGTTTGTTTTCTTTCCTATCTGTGCAGAAAGTCAGAAAGGGCATCTCAGACGGGGGAAGTTTAGGGCTCGGCTAGAAATAAAATATTACACTTGAGCGGGAATTTTACTCTTGCTAAATTTGAGATTAAATGCCACTGGGCAATTCCTTTGGTGCCACGTCTAAAAGAGAAATAACTATTATAAGTGGTAGATCTGCTGACAAATCTTGTTCTTGGGGCTCGAGTGCAGCAGGTTACGGTTGAAGCTCGTATCTAGACTTCTTCATGTTGCTTTAGTCCCATTTTGGAATTTGGTGACTTGAATTCCTCTGTAACTGACTGTGAGCTAAATCTGAATGTAGTCTTTTAACTCAGTGCAAACTAAAGGATAGGAAGCTTCGTCAGTGTATCAGGATGTGTGCGACAGCCGCCCTGGGACTGACAGCTTTGGGGACTCATGGCCCAGGGCTCTGGGGCACTGTTTTATGCTCACCAGATGGATGGACATGAACATGACTGCCTGGCAGGGGAGGGAGGCAGGCGAGAGACCCTCCTCCTCGCTGTTGACCGTGTCGCAGTGGTAAACACTCTGGTGAGAACCTCCAAAGACTCTGTCCCAGTTTCAAGGTCAGGAGATGTGGGAGAGGGTGTGAAAGAATGCCATTCTGCAGGATGAGGCGGAAACCCAAGCAGGAAGTGTGGGGTGCCAAAGGAAAAGGAAAAAGTGTGGGCAGTGACTGGGGAAGCAGACAGGATCAAGAAATACGAGGAAATTAAACGCTGGCCAGGGGCCTGGCTCTAGGTGTTTCCTCATCCCGCCTGCTGTGGGGCCCCTCCGTGGAGGCAGCAGCATAGGCCCTCAGATGGGGTTAGTACCTGGTGGAGGGGCATGATAGGCGTCACATCCCCTCTTCCAGCTGCCAGCAAGGGGGTTGGACCTGAGGCCATCGAGACTAAGCTGTGAGTGTGTCTCCTGGGAGCACCTCCATATGAGATCATGACGTCCACACTGCCTGGTTCGCGCTGTGTGGACTTACAAGGGCTGCCCCTGAGCCGGATGCTGTGCCAGGTGCTGAGAGGATGGGTCAGGGCCCTGTCCTCATGGAGCATACGGTCTGGAAGGGGGAGACAGACACCTCAGTTAAAACATAAGTAAAATATATCAGACACTAAGTGCCAAGAAGCCTTTTTAAAGGTAATGTGGGAGAATTCCTTGCATGTGTGTGGTACGGAAGAGTAGCTAGAAAGCCTCGCTGAGGAGGTGCCCTTGGGGCTGAGATTTGAAGGAGCTGGCAATGCGAGGGTGGAAGGAGGGTGTGCTCTGGGAAGAGGACCCAGCGTGGGCACAGGTCCTGAGAGGGGTGTAAATTGATGCCTGTTAGGAACAGAAAGGCAGGAATAGAGAACAATGAGTGGGGAAAAGCTTTGGCCAGGCCCGCGGTGTCTCACAGGCCACAGTAGGAGGTTGGACATGGCTCAAGGTGGTGAGAAATCATGAGAAGGTTTGAAGCCGGGGGTTGGGGGGAAGGTGTGGGGCCACCTGGATACTATAAGGTAATGTGCTTTTGTGAATTGGCCTGAAAACGTCACCATCTATAACGTCTCATGGAAACATGGGTTCTGAGGTATGAAAATGCCAAATTTGGAACGTAACTAAATCCATAGGTTGGGAATTAGGTGGATATGCATTTCAGAAACCAGTATACATTACACATCAAGAAAACTCAAGGATGGAGACCGATATTCTGAAAGTTCAAGATAGCACTGTTTATTAGAGTAGTTTGTGGTCATCCACCGGGTGACAGAATACTGGGCCCCCTATGCGGTCTTGCAGGCCTGTAATAGGTGCTTGGTCTCCTGTGAGGGTCTAGAGCAGCGGTTCTCAACCTGTGGGTCGCGACCCCTTTGGGGGTCGAACGACCCTTTCACAGGGGTCGCCTAAGACCATCGGAAAACAAAAAGATATTTACATTACGATTCATAACAGTAGCAAAATTACAGTTATAGAGTAGCAACGAAAATAATTTTATGGTTGGGCGTCACCACAACATGAGGAACTGGATTAAGGGGTTGCGGCATTAGGAAGGTTGAGAACCGCTGGTCGAGAGAGAGAACAGCTTCTGACAGTGAGTCTGAACCTGCAGGTGACCCGGTGGGTGGGCTCTCAGTGTGTGACAGGCTTAGTGTCTTTGTTTTGGACAATACTCTCATAAATCAATAGTGAGGGAGTGTGACTCGATGTCCTGCTAACTATGTGACAGTCACAGACAGCAGCTGATTTTCTAGATTCTTTAGAAGGATCTAATGTTTAATCAATAAGTAGAATATTCCCAAAAGGAAAACATGCAGTTTTAGTGATTAAGAAGCAAAACGTTGGCTGTTAATACAGGACTCTCTGAAGCATTGTTGTTTACTTGTCATATAACCTAGTAAAGGCTTAATTAACCCTTTGATTATAAAAGGCCAGTGGTAACTCTGTCATAGCGATTTCAGTTGCCCACGGATCTTACTGCTCTGGAGGGGTGAGGTGGCCATATACTTGGCTTCTGGATAAACGAAGGGCTGTTTTATTAAGAAAACCAAAGCTCTTTAAAAGCACGTTGGCCTAATTAGTATTTGGAAATGGCATTGGGAGTCACATTGAATTGTACTCTTGGAAGGCTGAAAAATGGATTTAAGTGTACTCTTTAATCCAGATGTTTTAATAATTCAGGTTGGCCCGTAACGGGCTCAGTTTTACTCTGGTGATGAAGCCTCCCCTTTGGTAGTGCTGCTTCTTTAAACTATGAGGTGAAGCTAAGAATAGCCTCACAAAGAGATCTGACTCGTGTGCCCACCTCAAGCTCTGTGTGAGATGGGTTTCCTCTGGGCAAGGCGAGTTCAGCTTTTGGGTGTCTGAGAAAGTCCTGATGCTGCTGTTGGTTTGGAAATCGGCACAGAGAGGTGAAGTCAGCAAAGCTCACACAGCCGGGAAGCGAGGGACTTGCGGTTTGAAGACTGGCCGCTGAGGCCTGAGCCTGCGCAGTTAGACACACGTATGGTCATATGGTGGTGATGCGCTGGGTGGGTTTGACTCTCAGAAAGGCCCGTATGGGGGGCACCCAGGAGAAAGGGGAGCGTGATTAGAGAGGTGTGGAGAGGTGTGCGGGAGCTGTCATTGGGCCTTCGTGGGTCATGGTGTGCTGGTCAATGTTTAACCAGTGGCTCCCTGGGGGAGGGGAGGCCCTGACCTTACGTCGTATTGATCCCTTTTCAA